TTTGTTCAACCTGAAATGACTCATTTAATCATCCATAACGCTATGGAACACATTAATTAACTGAAAAATGTTGCATAGTGTGCCTTTAACAATTAATCAAATACTAAATTTGTTGACAATTATTTCAATAATTTATTAATCAAAATGTTTTAGCCCTGCATGGAACCATTAGACCAGCTTTGAGCATCAAATGTATTACCTTATTAGTTTTACCCCAGTTTTTATTCATGATGCTCTTTGGTTTAGTTGCTTATTGTGTCATTTAGAGCGCTTCAGTAAAAATTCATTTGGTCAGATTTTTCTACATTACTTTGAATTTATTTGATTTTTACAGTAAGGTTTAATCACTTTTAGGCTTATCCTCCAACTTTTTCCTCTTAATATTTTACCTTCTGTCTTTACAACTGTCAGATCTGATATATTACATGTTGTTTTATGTGAGACTTCCTGATTAGTAAATTATGTGAATGTGGAATCAAATGGATGCAGATGGGAAAGCGCAGTCCTTACCCATCTGCATCCTTTTTTCTGGGAGTAGTTTTTCCAAAAAGTCGTAAATGCATCACTCGCTCACTTTCCCTCCTAGGTTTCTTGAAAGTCCTGCTGGTGCAAAGTTAACTAGGTGAGATGGAGGATTAAGGTGACAGTGAAAGTAATGAAACAGCCTGAAAAGACTTGGTGGCTCTTCAGATAGTGAAGTCAGATGGTGACAAACACTGTATAGTTTGCAATGAAAAACGGCTTTCGATGTAAAAACATTGGAGACCTTAAAAAAGCAGAATATTTTCTGATGAATCATTCTGAAAGAGGAAAGTGCTCATCACCACCACATTTCTAAAGAATTGTGAAATTCACTGTGTTTTTGTTTCCTTTCTTTATTTTTAAGGAGCAGAAAAAGTTAGAAAACTCTGCAGACTGTCGGTGGTCATTTGGAACAGGCTCTTAAACAGGAAACCATAACTAGTGCTCTCCTTTATAAAATTTGGTGTGTCTTTAATAGACTTCTCAGATCTAACGTCACACGTCTGTCATGTTTCGCAGCATTTTGTGCTTGAATTTGACTTGATTTTGTAACTTTTTGTTCTTCATTTTTGGTGGTCGATCAGTTTGTGTTTCAGTCATTTCTATTTAGCACCTGGATGGTTTGATTATTTCTCATTGCCAAAGAAAACGTTTTTAACTTTGTGTTTTTGTTTGTAAATATTTTGCAGTTAAAACAATGATATAAGTCATGGCAGAGTTAAACGCTGGCTATATGATTTTTAGAAAAATGTGACTTTTTTTTTTTTAATGCTGCTAAATATTACAGTGAAGATCTTAATCCATCACCACCTCATTACCACTTTCCCTAAACTTCCTGATCCTGGTTCGATCTACTGCAGATGTGTGCATAAAGGAACAGGAAGTCCATCACCATGGTGACCATGTTGTTGGCAACCAACTTTAAAGGCATACTATGCAACATTTTTCAGTTAATTAATGTGTTCCATAACGTTTTGGATGATTAAATGAGTCATTTCAGGTCGAACAAAGGTTTTCTCGGCCGCCCTGGTGGTCTGTAGGGGAAATACCGTATTTGCAATTGCAGGAGCCCTCGGCCCGCACCCACAGGCTCAGAAGTCTGGTGCATCGCGAGAGTCGGTCTTAATTTACGGCGAGAACTGCTACACGCCCCCAGTGAAAGGCATGCTTGTTGCTAGCGCAGTGGCGATATTTGTGCAGTTATCATGGCGGAACCAGCGAGAAAACAGCGAAGGCACATGTCGGAAACATGCTAAATTTTCAAACTCAAAAATTGGAACAAAATAGTCACTTACCGCAGTAGACATGGTGATTCGTTGCGTTCGCCTGTCTACTAAGCTCAAAACAACCGTGCCTGGCTTGACGGAGAAACCAGGAGAACAGCTGATCATATTTACTACAGTGCACTTTTACTTTCGCCCTCTGGGGGGAGCCTCGCTGGAAAATCAACACCGGTTGCATAGTATACCTTTAATCCAGGATTCATCCAAGAAGCCCTTGTACAGATATTTCTGATTATGACCGGACAACTCCAGCTGAAAATTAACTTTTTTTATGCGTAATAAATACCAACTTTATTTTATTCTGTACTTGTATAGATTTATATTTTAGGTCATATCTCCAGTCCTTGTAAAAAGAACTCACTGCACTGGTGACAGAATAAGGCCTGCACAATAATACAGTTTAAATGGGGCAACAAACCAAAATAATCACTTCCCTCAAGTAACTCAGATCCTTTTAGCCCTGCTTCTGATCACGTCTCCATTTTAACCAAAGAGGGAGATGTTTAAACATTGACTGAGCGTGATGTGTTTTATAGTTTTTTTGAAATACTTCAGTTATTCCGTAAAAGTAAAAAAAAATAAAATTCACTGGACTTGGTTTCCAAAGTTTGAAGATGTTTTGCTACCTCTCCAGGAAGCTTTCTCAATTCAAATGCTTCCTGGAGAGGTAGCGAAACGTCTTCAAACTTTGGAAACAAAGTCCAGTGGATTTGCTTTTTAACTTTTACAGAATGACTATGACCTGGATGACTGAGAATCTTCATCAGCAAACTTCAGTTATTTTAACAGACCAGGTCTAATCTTGAATATTTTTCTTTCAGATGATCTGCCTCAGACTGTTACCATCAAGGAAACCCCAGTTCCTGCTTCTGATGATGCACCTGTTAAATCGGAGCCGTTGGACCCTGAAGTGAAGCAAACTGATGGGGTTTCTTCCAACCCTCAGCTTCCTCCCCATACTGTTACAGTGAAGGCTGAGCTGAAGAAGGAAGAGGAGGAAGATTTTGATGATGATGGGTCCAAAATGACAATGAGGCTTAGGCGAAACATTACTAACCCACAGCGTGTAAGTGGAGTCATTGGTACTCTCATAAATCCCTACATGAATGCTTCAGTCGTTCTACTCATCTAATGAGCTTATGAACATTTTTTTTTTTTTTTATCTTATTCTTCTTGAAGGCGGATTCATTTGTGTGTCGGATGTGTGGCCGGGGAGACGACGATGAGAAACTCCTTCAGTGTGACAGCTGTGATGAGAACTATCACACATACTGTCTCTTACCCCCCCTCACCGATCCCCCCAAAACCAAGTGGCGATGCCCAAAATGTGTGGCAGAAGTACGGTCAAAGATTTTATTCTTTTCAGAAAAAAAATACTTGGCTTGTTTTAGAGTTTCCTCACTCACTTCTTGTCTCTTTCTCAGGAGTGCAAGAAACCATCTGAAGCATTCGGCTTTGAACAAGCAACACGAGAGTATACTCTGCAGAGCTTTGGGGAAATGGCTGATGCTTTCAAAGCAGATTACTTCAACATGCCCGTTCATGTGAGTGCACCAAGAAATGACTGTTTGTTAGAAAACAGGACTCCGTCTGACTTAAAGCATCTGAACCCTCTTGTTATGTGTAGATGGTTCCTACTGAGCTCGTGGAGAGAGAGTTCTGGAGATTAGTCAGCAGTATTGAGGAGGATGTGACCGTTGAGTATGGAGCAGACATACACTCCAAAGACTTTGGGAGTGGCTTTCCAATGAATAATGGGAAGAAGGAACTTACAAAAGAAGAAGAGGTATGCTTTGCATTTCCTACTGTTGGCTCGTTTATGAAACGTTATTCCATTATTCAGGTTTATGAAACGCACATAAAAATTATGTGTTCGAGTTGTAGTAAACTGCTAAAGTAAATGTAGAAAAAGAATCTGGAATTAATCAATGAAATTGTGGACTTAGTATAATAGTCTCTGCTTTCTTTAACTACAACAGTTATGGTAGTTAAGGATAAAGATGTTCGATTGAATAAGATTTCTTTTTAAAAATGATCATGACATTTATAAAAGAAACTGTAATCAGTTGCTTTTTTAGGTATATAATGGGTCTCAAAGATGGTGTAAAAAAAATAAATAAAAATCTCAAAGATCCCCTGGATCTTTAAATTAATCTATATACTTGAAGTATTAAAAGAACATTTCACTGGATTTGATTAATGAATGACCATATTTGGACTCTGGACTTTAGTTGGCACCTCACTGTAAGCCGCGCTCAACAATAAAAAAAAAAAAACAACAACCTGGAAACGTACATAAATAAGCTGCACAGGGCTATAAAGGGCTGCTTATCCTCCTGCAGCAGTGTTGCAGTGAGCTTGTTGCAGATATTTTTGATTTCTATCCAATATTTAAGAGTGGTCTGCGCTGTTATTCCACGGCACAACACAAGAGGAACAATCAGGTACCAGCTGTGAGTCTAGATACGGCCGAGGCCGTGAGGAAGTGGGGGGCAAGTTTGTGTGACAACGGAAGGACATGATGGCCGAAAAAGAGCGGGGATCCAGATGGTAAAACGGTCCCAGCGTTCTCGCGCACCTCGCTCTTCTAGCTGGTCCATTTTCACGAGTTGTTTTCCACAATGATGGTCATACAAACAAAACTAGCTGGTAAGGTACCAAATAGGAAATGCACATAGTGTAGAGCGGATGTAGATTTGACCAATCAGAGGCCTCTTGTCTGCGGTCACCTACCATTTTCGAGAGGCTCAGCAGAGTGCCTGCAGAAGAGGCGGGGCACATTTGCGTTCACCGCGATGCACATGCAGACTACCTGGTTCTGAGTATAAATCAGCCTTAAGCTGCTTATATCTGCTTAACTGTTTCCCACCCAACCTGTAGGGGGAGCTCTACTTATAGTGCCTGGAGTAGGGACGAAGAATGCTAGCTCCAATTAGCTTATTGGCTCACAGCAGTAAGAGCTAATACTGAAAAATGGAGCTTTGTCGGCTCTTTATTTAAGTTCTGCAGGAATTTAGCCCAGTCTCTTCGTTGGTTCGGCAGCTTTAATGCGGCAAACAAATGTCTAAATGTGTGAATTCGAGAGATTTGCTCTCCGTTGTGCCTGCTACTAGCATGTTCTTGTGCTAAATGCAAATTAGCACCTTATTCGTTTCTAACTTTGACTCCCCGCTCTTCCAGTTCGAAGAAAATCCACAGAAAAGCTGCACCTTCTTATAAGCCGCATGGTTCAAAACATGAGGAAAAAGTAGCGGCTTATAGTCCAGAAAATACGATACGTCAGGTATCAGGATGAAGTCGTTCTTAAAAATCTCCATCAACATGTATCCCATAATCCTTTGTCTTGAGGAAGGTTTAAGGGATGCAGCTAAGATAGTCAAGATTGCAATGAGAAAATAAAGACTAAATAAATAATTAATTTTGATTTCTTCACAAAAACAATTTAGCAGATTCAGAAAACAAATATTAATTTGTTTACTGGTAAATATAGATGAAATTGTCAAATAAGGTTTTCATACATGTCCATATAAGGAGAATCATTTCTAGTTCATACATGTGCTAACGGACCATTTTTAGCTCAACTGACGCCATGTTTTTTTTTTTCTTCTTTATTGGTTGTGCTGGGCAGGAGTATGCACGTTCTGGCTGGAACCTAAATGTGATGCCGGTTCTGGAACAGTCCCTCCTCTGCCATATTAATGGAGACATCTCTGGGATGAAGGTGCCATGGCTTTATGTGGGCATGGTGTTTTCAACGTTCTGCTGGCACATTGAGGATCACTGGAGCTATTCCATCAATTACCTGCACTGGTACTCCATCTTCAGTGCCTCTGTTTTAGCCTTTTGTGTGCATGTTTGAATAAAGATTCAATGAATAATTTGCGTCTCCATTTTATCTCCAGGGGGGAACCCAAGACTTGGTATGGGGTTCCTTCTGCTGCAGCCGAAAAGCTCGAAGATGTTATGAAGAAACTGACTCCCGAGTTGTTTGAGTGCCAGCCTGACCTGCTGCACCAGCTCGTCACCATCATGAACCCCAATATTCTCATGGCTCATGGTGTCCCGGTCGGTCCTGCATCCACACCTGCTCAGAAGGACCATGTTGTAAAAGTTATTTTAATTACCTTTTTTCTTTCCTCCTAGGTTGTGCGTACTAACCAGTGTGCTGGTGAGTTTGTAATCACCTTTCCTAGAGCCTACCACAGTGGCTTCAATCAGGGATATAATTTTGCTGAAGCAGTCAACTTCTGCACTGCAGATTGGGTTTGTATCTCCACTATTGGCCCGATTTTTAGATTAACATGATACTGAGGAGTCAATCTTTAATAAATCCCTTTTTCTCTATTGCAGCTCCCTGCTGGTCGACACTGTATCGAGCATTACCGCCGTCTGAGGAGGTATTGCGTGTTCTCTCATGAGGAGCTCACCTGCAAAATGGCTGCCTGCCCAGAGAAACTGGACCTTAACCTGGCTGCGGCTACGCATCGGGAGATGTTTATTATCGTCCAAGAGGAGAGAAAACTGAGGAAGAATCTGATGGAAAGGGTGAGACTTGGAAATAAGTCATATCCTTCGGAATTATAACAGGGTTCCCGCGGGTCCTTAAAAAGTCTTAAAAAGTCTTGAATTTAACTTGCCTTATTCTGTAGGAACCCTGTATAAATGGTGAACAGTAGCTAACATGGTACTGAATTTTCTGTTTGTCCTTGGGTGACTCGCAGGGTATCACAGAAGCAGAGCGAGAAGCGTTTGAGCTACTTCCTGATGACGAAAGACAGTGTGATAAATGTAAGACGACATGCTTCCTCTCCGCTCTGGCCTGCTCCAACTGTCCAGAACGTCTGGTGTGTCTCTATCACACTCAGGATCTCTGCATCTGCCCCACTGAAAAGCTCTACCTCAGGTATTTATCCTGTTGGTACAAATGCTCATCAATTATATTGTACTTTCTGAAAAAATGTAAATAAAATTGGGGCCATAAAATAAATTGCAGTATACCACTACAAATATGGATCATATTTTCTGTCTTCAATCTTTAGGTACAGATACACCTTGGATGAGTTGTTAGCTATGCTCCATCGGTTGAAGGTCAGGTCAGAGTCCTTCGATTCCTGGGCCAACAGAGTAAAAGAGGCGCTTGAACAGGAAGAAGGAAGCAAAATAGGTGGGATTTTTTTTTTTATATTTAATGAAAACTAAACATTAAACAGAATAGGTGATGTTGGTTCTAAGTTGAAACTAATCTTAAACTGCAGAAATTCACGACTTGGAGAAACTGAAGGCCGAAGCAGCAGAGAAGAAGTTTCCTGACAATGAACTTCTCAGGAAACTCAATACTGTTTTCAAAGACCTAGCATACTGCCAACAGAGCAGCGCCGAGCTCCTCAGCAATTCAAAGACCGGGTGAGAAGGATGAAGAGTTGATCTTAGATTAAGTGTTAATTTTTATAAAGGTTTATGCTTATTTTGGTGTTATTTCTTTCAGGGATAACAGGATGACTTTGGCTGAGCTGAAATCTTTGGTTGACAAAATGCAAAACTTACCTTGTGGGGTGAACCATTTAGAGGAAGTACGGGTAAGAAGCCGTTATTACACCATATCCCAGCCCAGTGTGATTAGGGCTGCAACTAGAGATTTTTTAGCAAATTGATGAATCTGTTAATTATTTTTTTGATAATCGATTAATAATCGCATTGCCAAAGGTTCCTTAAGAAGAGTTTTTATGAAATTAAACCGGGTGAAACAAAAACTTTTCTACTTGAGGAGTTCTTGATACAGCATGACAGATGAAAAAGTTTTTATTTTTTGGTATAATTGCTGCTCAAGATTGGCGGCTCATTTTACAGTCTCTATACTCCCGTTAACATTTAATTTATTACTAAATTAGTTGACGATTATTTAAATCCATTAATCACAATTAATTTTAGTCTCAAAAGCTAATATGTACGGAAGCCGAGAGTGGTCAGGTCCCTCCCATACTTTTTCAAGGTGTTTTTTTTTTTTTTTTTTTTTTTAGAGAAAATTTGTTAATTTTTTCATTATCTAAAAATAACAAAAGCCGCTTTCTTGTGATAGATAATTTTTTCTTATTAGAAAGCCGTTTTATCGTTTTAACGAGATGATTGGCGTGCGTTTAAACTGTTTACATCCTCCAATACCACAACAGCAGAAGAGGATTTAGAATTACAAGTCATGGCTACCTGTGTGTAATTCATTTAATAATCCTGTGTTTAACTTTTAGGTAATGAGATGACGTTGTTGGTTTGATGATTTACTCTTACTTCTGATTAATAAGCAATTAGACCAATGCCTCCGGTGCCTTTGCGCCGGGTGTTTTCTGAACAGCCCCGGTATTGCGTCTTTAACGGGTATAAGATGCATTAACCCCACAAAATGAGTCCTGATTAAAGATTTTCATTTAAAAAAAATCAGACTTGTTTCTACTGGTTAAAAATGAATGGTTTAACCGTGATAATGCGACAGTTATGTCATTATCTAGAGAAGGCAAAGGAGTAGGGCTGTTTTCGCCAAAGTCCTGAATCGATTTGATTTTGATTCATACAGTTCTAAATCGATTAATTTGGATTCAATCTGTTTTTACAATAATAAAAGTGGTTCAACTGTGTTTCAAAATACTCATGTATTTTGTTTTTTCCTGTCACATTAAACACAAAGTGCAAACTTCTGAATCAGACAGTTTAAACATGAGATGTGAGCAAAACTGTCTCATAAGTGAAAAGTGAAAAAGTGAAGCCTCACTCGAGCAAGCAGACGTGACACAGCAGATATGCATGAGCTGCGTTATCATCACTGCACAGACAGTATTTGCAGTGTTGTCTTTAACAACTACAGGGTGTTTTCAGGTCGGCCGCCATTTGTTAATGTCTTCAGTCAACCTATTGGTTATATGTCCAGCTGTCTGGCTTGAAGTAATCTTGAGTGCATCTTTCCTGCTTGTTTGAACGTCACACAAGTCACTATAAAATGAATCGATCTCATTCCCTAGACATCGATTTTGCAAAAAGTTAAAGGAATCTATTCAAAATTGATTAAATCGCTTTTTTTAACCGAGCCCTACAAAGGAGGAAAAATAGAGTACGGCCGCTCTCGGCTTCCGTAGATTTGATGCATATTCAACTGAAGTAGGATATTTTCCATAAATTCCTTTTATCTGATGGTCTTTCTTCACTGTTTCTAGGCGGTTTTGCAGACTGTTGAGGATTTCCAGAAACAGGCCCAAGTTCTTGTCGGTGACAAGGACTGGAAGAAAGAGTCGCCGCCTCCTGAGCAGCTGCAGGGTTTGTTGGAGCAGGGAGACAAACTGCCCGTTTTGGTGCCAGAGTGTAATTTACTCCAGGGTCTAAAGGCGCAAGGCCACTGGCTGGAAGAGGTGAGGCGAACGCTTGGCACTGAAGGAGGAGAGAGGCACGAAATTACACTGGAGGTGCTGAGGAACCTCATGGAAGCAGGTTGCAACGTGCCACAGAGTGTTTCTGTGGAGACGGCGATGGCTGAGCTGCAGGAGCTGCTGACGATCGCAGAGCGCTGGGAGGAAAAAGCACAGATCTGCCTAGAACAAAGGTAGCAAAACCCATTCATCATTTTCCCAACTAAAAAAATGGCAGCTGTGATCATGATGTAAAGACATCAAGGATTCCTTTGTTTTCCCCCCTCTAGGCAGAAGCATCCGCTTTCCACCCTGGAGGCAATTGTGAATGAGGCTCAGCTTATTCCCGTCAAGCTTCCCAACATTGAGGCTCTGCGAGGCTGTTTGACACGAGCTCGGGCCTGGGTCACCGACTTGGAGGAAATCCAGGTACAAAGAAGAAACCTTTACCTTTTAGGCTTCACTGTATCAAAGCATTTTTTTAAAGCTATAATGGCTGTAATAATGGATTTTATTTCACATCGATCGTTTCTTTAAAGCTAGCTGCTGTGGTTTCTGTTCTTTTGATGTTTTGCTGTAAACACAGTAGTATGATCAGGAGTAGATGGTAAATTAATGACATGGTGGAATGTGCTGTAGAATGGGGAGCATTACCCATGCCTGGATGACCTGGAGGGCTTGGTGGCCATTGGAAGGGATTTACCAGTCTTCATGGAAGAGTTAAGGCAGCTGGAGCTGCAGGTGGCCAGTGCTCACTCCTGGAGGGACAAGGCCACCAAGACCTTCCTAAAGAAGAGCAGCCAGCACAGTTTACTGGAGGTAAGACTAAAATATACGTATTAGAATAGAAGCATCCAGCAGGTGATCTCTGGGATTACCTAAACCTTGTCCTGATGTTGTTTTTGACTTTTTATCTGTAAATATTGAAGCAGATGTGATGTTTCAGAGTTAGAGAATTTCCTTAAATCAGGATTTTACTTTGTTACATTCCAAAATTATCTTGTTTTAATTAAAGCGGGTCTTTAGTTTGTTATATTGATGATTAGCAGGGTTAGATTGGCTAGCATTACTAAATGCAGTCTTTGTCCTTAGAGATGGCTTGACAGAAAAAGATTGATCAGAATATCTTAGTTGGTTTCTGGTTAGTCTTCCCATTATTAATATGAATTGAACTTCATTGATCTCACTGGATAAATTTCATCTCTGCATTTAACCCATCCCCTTGGGGAGCAGTGGGATGCCATCGTGGGGCGCCAGGGGAGCAGTGTGGGGTTAAGGGTGTTGCTCAGAGAGCCAGAGTTGCATTCTGTGGGAGTGGGGTTCGAACTCAGGATTCCAAGCTCTATGCCATAACCACTAGGCCACCACTAGGGGAGCTATCTACTAAATGCCTCTTTCTCCTACTTCCTTAATTTCCCTGGTTCCTGTAATGTAATTTTTTTTGTGAAAACGTAATGCAGATATTCTTTTAAAAACTTCCTGAAGCTTCTTAGAGTGGTATTTGTTACAATACAAATTTTCTTGGTCCTTAATGTCTGTTTTAGATACTATTAAGAGCCATTGTGGGGGGTCCAAAGAGCCGCTTTGGGCTCTGGAGCTGCAGGTTGCAGAGACTTTTCGGTTTATCATGGAGCCTAACCAAGAGTGGTAGATTTCTAAACAAAAGGGTGGCCTAAGATGGCCTCTAAAATTGCTGCTTATAAGCCTTAATTCTTTATCATTTGTACCTCACTGATGCCTAGAAATAGAAACCTGGTTTGTTTAGTTTGGTAAAAAGCAAAGTAATCGTACAATTCCTTCTTGTACTACTGGATTTATTAGATTTGTAGAGTTTGTTTTTTGTTTTTACCCTTTTAACTGTGTGGTTCTGTAATGTGACCCCATGGACATCACTTCTTCACCTCCTGCAGGTTTTATGTCCGTGTGTGAAAAGGCGGGAGAGGCGGTCTGAGATGGAGCGGTTGGATGACCCTCCGGAGCTCGCTGATTCCAACACTTTGGGGCTCTCTGCTGAGGCGTTGAGGGACCCTGCAGCTATTGTAAGAACTCTGATCCCGTCGTTGATGTTCCTGCATGTTTATGAAAAATAATTTAGCTATTTCCCTATAGAAACATGTTTTGTCCCTCATTTTCAGCTTGGTTTTTGAGATTCCCCTTGCTTTCTTTTTAGGTTTTGGCCTTCAAAGAAGGGGAGCATCAGGAGAAGGAGGCACTTCTGAGGTTACAGAAAATGAACATGTGTAAATCAGGACTTAATACAGCAAGCTGTAAGGAAAACGGGTGGTCGGATAAAAAGGACACAGACGTGTCTTGTTACTCTGAGAACTCTGTTAAAGAGAACGGAAACGACAGCCACAGTCGCATCGCTCCTCCTCAGTCGGTGTGTGTGTGTGCCGGGCCTCCCCGCGCTCCTCAGCTCCGCTGCCATTTGTGCAAGGACTGGTTCCATGGCAGCTGTGTTTCTTTCCCCTCCCTCCTGCCGCCCTATAACCCGCAGAGCAATCATCTTTGTTGGTGGGACTGGGACACCCGCTTTTTATGTCCACAGTGTCAGCGATCGCGGCGCCCACGTTTGGCGACTATTCTTGCACTGCTCGTAGCCCTGCAGAGGCTACCCGTGCGTCTGCCAGAGGGAGAAGCTCTCCAGTGCCTCACCGAGAGAGCGATCACGTGGCAGGGCCGAGCCAAGGAGGCGCTGGATATGCCCGAACTGCGGCGAGCGATTCAGGAGCTGCAGGAACTCGCAGAGAAAGAGGAGGAAAAGGATGCAGAAGGGAATTCGGTTATTGTTTTATCAGACTCTGATGGAGGAGAAGGAGAAGATGGAGTTATTGATTTAACAGCGGACAATTCACCTATTAAGAAAAGAGAGGAACTCCATACTTCTCAGGTGATTTATATTTTCCCCTAAATGTAAAAACAGAACCTGATCGTCTGTAAACACTACAGAGTTTTAAATGTCTCTTATGTCCCTGTTTGGCAGGCTGAATGCCAAAATGGTGTCGGCAAGAAGTCAAATGTTACAGGTAGGACACCTTGCTGATTACTTCCTTATCAAAAAGCTATAGAAAGTAGCTGGATTTAAAAAAGCTCTCTTGTTTTCTTCCAGGTGTGGGATCCTTGCTGCCCCTGCTGCCTTTGCTGAAAGGCAGAGTGGTGAAGCTTTCCCCAGCAACCAGGAAGCAGCTGGAGGAACTGCAGCTAGAAGGAGACCTGCTGGAGGTCACCTTGGACCAGACGTACACCATCCACAGGGTCCTGCAAGCTGCCTCAGACCCTCCCAAAGAAACGCTGAAAACACTTATTCAGGTTAGACACAAACAAATAGCAAAAAGCTGTTGGTAAACTCTGCTGTATAATGGTGCGTTCAGATCAGACATGGAATTCCCCGCGGGGCTCAGAACGGGAGAGTCAAAGTCAAAGCTACACATGTTAGGGAGTTAAACCTATAAAGGAAATGTATCAAAGAAAAGGTGAAACTGATAAAAACTTCTGTTTTCTAACCTGTAGTCTGATTCTGACTCTATTTCCATAGAACCCATACACACGTTTATTTAAACTTTGTGTATTTTAAGACTAAGTATATCTTTAAAAAAAAATTAATGCTTTACGCTTTTTTCAAACGTCCACTTAGCGACTTTAAGGCTGTCTTTAGTGGCTTTTCAGACCCTTCTAGTGACTTTTAGGTGCTTTTAGAGACTCTGCACTTACTGTGTTCTGGGAGAAGGTGGTACTAC